GTTTTCGTCTTAATTTGTGTTGGCCGATCGGCGCGGGCCTCGCCACCCCCCCCCCCTACTCCCCCCATGGAGTAGATATTGGCTGTTTGGGGCGTCTGTCCTGAGCTGGTGGAGCCCCTCCCCCATAGGACGCACTGTTGCAAACAGTCGCGTGAAGCAGAGGTCCTGAGCCCGACCCCCCCCCCTCCTCCTTCCCCCTCTCCTCTCCTCCTCCTTCCTTCCCCCTCTCCTCCTTCCCCCTCTCCTCCTTCCCCCTCTCCTCCTTCCCCGCCCTCTCCTCCCCCCCCCTCCCCTCCTTCCCCCTCTCCTCCTTCCGCCCAATTTCGAAACGCCGAATGAGAACACGCTCACATAAGGTGCGCTCCAGACAGGGCCTCGTCTTCGAGGGATCGAGGCGTCGACATCTCTTCCTCGGCAGAAGGCTGCGGAAGCATAATGGGCTCGGCTTCGCAGGCGGAAGGCCAGAGGAAGCCGGCGGAAGCAAAATATTCGGTTTCTGGAATGAGCCATGCGAACAGAGGGCGTCGAAGTTCGATACCACATCGTATTGGGCTGCCCAGCTTGGGCGCCGATCGGCGCCTGCAGCGTGCCGCCATCTCCTGGCCGCTGCTGAGGTCGCCATTTGTCGTTCGGGCGAGCGTGCCGCGCTCCGAGCTTCGAGTCGTGGAATGGACAATGGTGTGTTCGTTTGGGTGCGTTCTTCTACTCATCCCCGTGCGTTTGTCCCGCATCCCCTTGTGCAGCTCCCGTCCACTTGTGCTTCGGCTGCACGGCCCCTCGCGACAGATCGTCGGTTCCTCCCGGCGTGCCCCTGGGGACCATCCGCGGGATTGCCGGTGTTTTTTGAACCGGCCCTCCAAAGGGCTACAGCCAGACACGGTGGCAAGGGTGGAACACTACAGCGAGGCTGATCGTGCATCCTTGCTTGTTTGGCCTGTCTTAGCTATGCTGCACGCGCGCGAGTTCCGAGGGGTTCTCGGGTGCCTGCTTGGCGAGATGGCGACGTCGGCAGAGGTTGGCTCGGCCTCTGATTCCCGACGGCTGCTTTTCCCGGACGGGTCACGATTGCCACTTCTCCCCGTGGAGGGTAGGAAGCTCGTTGAAAAGCTTGTTCGCCCTGTCCTTCGATTGTACACTGGGGATCTGCGTTGCCTCGACTTCGTGGTGCCAGACGCCTTGACGACGTCCGCCGACGGCCCTGGTTCAGCAGCTTGACTTCCGCCCATTGGATGATGGCTTGCCTGTGCGGTTAGAACTGGGGCGCCCTTTCTTTCGGACCTCTGGCTGCCTGCATTGGTGGCTCACCTTGCAGTACACTGGTATCCGGGGCCCGGGGCAGCATGCGCGCTCCTCGTGGCGTAGACTCTCTACACCCCTTCCGCGACTTCCCTATTCTTCTCCACGTGTTTAGTGTACCTTTGCCCAGCGCCGCCCGCCGACCGACCGACTTCGCCGCTGGGGAAACAAGTGTTTCCTGTCCTTGGCCACTGTTTTAGCATGGACGCCGCCGCAGTAGATTCGGCATGGACTCCCAAGGGCCTCGCATCCTTGCCCTGGATCCTCACCAAGGTCACCCGCGGGGGCGCGAAGGTGACCGCGCTTGGCGGCCCAGGCCAGGTAATTGTCATCCAGCAGGGAGGGGAGCGGCGCGAGAGCGCGGTAGTAGTTGTTGAGCGTGACGCGTGAGATTCGGCGATCTGGCCGACCGCGGAGCTCGCCCTGGTCGAGCCGCGGCCCTGCTCCAGGCCGCGGCTCGACCCCAATTTGGGTCCCCCGAATTGGCTGATGGCTGCACCGTCCGGCGAGCAAGAGGGGACTCGGAGTGACTGGACCGCGTGGGGACTCGGGGTCGTCCTCCGAGGATACCCCAGGCGCCCGGAAAGCCCGCGAGTCCCAAACCGTCCAGTGACGCACCGTCCGACGGATCGGGCATCTGTCACCAGACGATTCTGGAACCCCGTGAAGTGTTGCATCAAACCCATCGGAGCGCCCCTCAGCCACTGGAGCGGGCACATTCTCTTTACCCCTGGCCGACCCTATCCTTACTAGTCATCATCGTCGTCGTAGTTGTCGTCGTCGATGTCGTCGTCGTCGTCATCACCACCACCACCACTACCACCACCACCACTACCGCCGCCACCATACATCGCAGTCACTGTCGTCATCGTCACCACCCAACAACAATATCACTATCACCACCACTGTAACCGTCACCGTCACCACCACTGTAACCGTCACCGTCATCAGTTACCGTCACCGTCACCGTCACCAGATCCAGCACCATTACCATCACCATCCATCCATGCATCCTTCTCCACCTCTCCTCCTCCTCCTTCCTGTTCCTCCTCCTCCTCCTCCTCCTCAATCCGTTCCATTTCCTTCTGAATCATGTCTCCCTGTCGCACCCCGAGGCCAGATTTTAGGGCGGGCCGGGCGTTTCGCCTGAGACTTCCCTACCTCTTATTATCCTGAAGCCAAAAAATTGGCGACAGTTTCAAAGATGGAGGGCGGGTCGTTATAAACATGTGGTTCTTGCCTCAGCGCCGCGCACATTAGTTTCAAATGTTTGCAAGGGCTTCACGGATTGAGGGCGGGTTGTTTTCAACATGCGGTTCTCGCCCTAGCGCCGCGCACATTCGTTCTACACGCTTACAAAACTTTCACGGGTTGAGGGCGGCCCGTTTTCAAAATGTGGCTCTCGCTTCAGCGCCGCGTGCAGTCGTTTTCAAAATTTGCAAGAGTTTCACGGGTTGAGGGCGGCTCCTTTTCAAAATGTGGCTCTCGCCGTAGCGCCGCGCACATTCGTTTTCAACATTTGCAAGGGCTTCATGGATTCTCATGTTCGGCGTGCCAGAGATGGCATTTTGGAAGGATTCCGGACTATGAGGGTGCAACGTTGACGTACGTTGATTCGCGGTGTTGAAGTCCCAGGAGTGGCGTTCTGGCGCGATCCAGGATCGCCAAATCGCGACAGTCAGGTTGATCCGTGTCGAGAACAATGCTTTCGAATGCGTCAGGGTCTTCTAACGGTTGTCTTCCAACGAGGCAAATCCCTCAATGGAAATGAACCGTTGGATGGGGCCTGTGAAGAGGGAGCTTGGAGGGAGGGTTTATCCCAACATCCTTGACGAATTTTGGGATTACACTGGTCCTCCTCCTCCTCCTCCTCCTCCTCCTCCTCCTCCTCCTCCTCCTCTTCCTCCTCTTCCTCCTCCCGGTGTCGCGCCCCCCCCCCTGCCTCCCTGCCTGGTTGCCGGTTCGTCCGAGGCTGGCGCAGGGCGGGCCGCGCGCCTGTGCTCGCGGGTAGCGTTCTGTGGTGGGGCGTACGCACTGCGTCCGCCTCCTCTGCCGTTTTTTATTTTTACTAGTGCTGTGCACTCCCCCGTTCGGGTCTTCCGTCCGTCCGTCCTCTTCCTCCCCCCCCGCGTTCTCTCCTTCCCACAGCCAGTCCCCCCCCCTCCCTCTCCCTCGCTCGGAGGGGGGAGCGACGGGGAATGGCGGGGAGGAGGGGCGCAGCCCCTCACGAGCGCACCCCGGGGAGGGCACGCGACGGCTCTGCTGGCCCCCCCGCGGGCGGCGTGCAGACGCGGGGCAGGGCCGGGGCCACGGCCTTCCGAGAGGGCGCCTCGCCTGTCAACAGAGACCACGTCCCACTCTCCGCCGCCTTCTCCTCCTCCTCCCTCCTCCCTCCTCCTCCCTGCTCCTCCCTACTCCCCCTTCCTGCTCCTCCCTCCTCCCCCTCATCCTGCTCCTCCTCCTCCTTCTCCTATTCCTCCTCCTCCTTCTCCTCCTCCTCCTTCTCCTCTTCCTCCTCCTCCTCTCCTTCTCCTCCTCCTCCTCCTCCTCATCCTCCTCCTCATCCTCCTCTTCCTCCTCCTCATTCTCATCCTCATCCTCATCCGTCATCCCTATCCTCATTCTCATCCTCATCCTCGTCCTCTCCCCGCGCCCGCCCCGCCATGCTGCGGGTGCCTCCTCGCCTGCTCTCCGTGGAGCTGGGCGTCCGATGCCCCTGCCTTTCCCTGCCACCGCCGCCGTTGCCCCCGCCGCTGCGGGGGGGGGGGGGGAATACGGTGGGAGCGGTCGTTGAGGGATGCGCCCAGGAGACTTCAAGGAGGTCCACGCTGCGAGAAAAAGGCATTCCGTCCCCCCCCCCCGCCCTTCTAGAGACCGTCGCCCCCCTCGCCTTGCCTTGTGCCCTGTGTCGAGGACAACAAACGACATGAGCACAAATTGTCGGAGGTCCGCGCGGATTTCTCGGATCGGCTTTGGAGCCCCCGTGGCGGCGCCTCCAGCGCCGCCCTTGGCGCGCTCGGCGCGCCAGGGAGGCGGCCTAGCGCCGATCCAAGGAATCAGCGCATGCCTCCGAAAGCTTATGTTTCTGCAGTGTTTGTGTTCTCGATGTCTGCTCCCCGGTCCCTGCTCTGGCGGATCCCTCAGGCCAGGTCTCGCGCCTCGCACCCCCGGGACCCGCCCTCGGCGTTTGGTCGGCTGGGCGTTATCTGTTCGAGCATGGCCCAAGGCGAGGTGGATCCAGTCCAGCTGCTGCTGCGAACAGTCGGCTCATCAAAAAAGGACTGGGCTTGCTGCAGGGTGCCCACTGAAAACTGTTCTTCCTTCATGGCGCCTGGGGCCGCAGGAGTCCTGACACGACGCCGGATGTTCCAGGTCGACGAACAGAGAGAGGCCCCAGATTCACCGCCGCGACAGCGGCGTCATGTAGTTAATGCGTGATGAGTGTACACGTTATTCATTTCTAAGTGTTCGAAGGTTCTTCCAATTTCTTGGGGCCAAGATCCTTTCATTTCGAATCATTCTATCCTGGGCCTCTTCCTGGCCACTAAGGGGCCAGGAACAATTAGAAACGAGCACAATTAGAAATGAGCACGGTTAGAATGAACAACGTGTATTCCTTTCCTGCTCGAGCACGGTGTCTTGGGCTACCCGCCGTGGCTTCCAGGTGACTGCGGTTCGCGCCTCCCGGCCTGGGCCAGCGCGCCATGATCCTTCTCCAGGGACTGGCCCCAGAGGGCACGAACAGACACCGCGCCTCGCGCGGCGCGAAGCGAGCTGGGAGGCCCAGGCATCCGGCGCCCTCGTGACTCCAAGGAGCCAGCGTCCTGACGATCCCTCGCCGGGCGAGCGCGCCCTTCCCTGGCTGGCGCGCGCGCGCGAGCCCAGCAGGACGTGGGCCTCGTGGAGACCGGGGAGAGCGCGGTGACGAAGGCCCCGTCGTCGGGGGCGGCCGCTCGCGCACGTGCGTCCTCTTCGCGGTCCTCCGAGCCCGGCTGGCTCCCCGTGCCTGCGCCCCCTCCGCAGCCATGGACGGAAGGGTTTTGGGAACGGATTGAAGCACGGTGTGTCGAGCTCACGCAATCAAGGGCGCACCAAGAAGACGCCCCTACCCCGGTTTACGAGGCGCTGTGCGCTGAACCTCCTGTGGGCTAACAGGGTAAGCCCTGCGTGATGTGCGGCGTCCTGACGGCTCTCTAGGCTTTGGACGTTCCCAGGAGGTTTACAGACCGCGCGCGTATGACACAGGGTAGGGCCTTTTTTTGCATCCCTCATGCAAATGATGCCAGTTTTCTCGCAGCTTCGGCGTCATTTGGGAATCTTCTCGCCAGGGTCTCTGCCCCCCGTTGCGCAGCCCATTTTGGTGTTCAGCTTGACGAGGACGACGACGCTATTGAACTGCACCTAGCGCTTGCGAGAAGTCCTATTCAGAGATGGGCTTTCGATTTCTCCGTCCAAAGACTGTCCTTCTTCTCCTGCTCATCCGCCGTGTGCCAGGCCTTCCATTTCCGCCCCTCGCCCCTCACCCCGCTCTGCGGGCAGCGGAGTCGCCCTGCCTCCGCCGAGCTGCCGCGTCGCGCTCCCAGGCCTCACTCCCCCCCCCCCCCCCCCCCCCCCCCTCGCTCCGCACAGTCAAGACGCTGAACTACGGACCACCGCTTTGGGCTAAGGAGGGGCTCCAGTTGTCGGGCCGTCTCATAGATCTGGCTCGGAAAACCTCTTCGCGGCCCAGGCTCCTCGTGGCCCGATCCTTGTGGTCTCGCGATGACGGCCCCCCCCAGTGCGGCGTGAGCTGGAGATGACTCGTGCTCTGCCCCATGGCGCGGGATGCTCCTCCTCCTTCTCCTCCTCCTCCTCCTCCTCCCTTCTCCTCCCTCCTCCTCCTCCTCCTCCTCCTCCTCCTCCTCCCTTCTCCTCCCTCCTCCTTCTCCTCCTCCTCCTCCTCCTCCCCCTCCTCCTCCACCACCCGCGCTCCGGGGTTTAACCCGCGGGCGGAAGTCACACCGTGCCGCCGAGGAGCGGCGGGCCAGCCGCGGCTTGCGGCGCGAGTGGCCGCGGGCGGCACGGGGTGCCGTCGCTTGGCACAAGCCTGACGTGCATACGGTAGCATGTCACGGGAGCGTTGGCTTCAGGAGCGATACACATGGTTCATTTTTACTTTTTCGAAAGTTCTTTGATTGTTGGGGGCAAGATCCTTTCATTTCTAATTGTTCTATCCTGGGCCTATTCCTGGCCACCATGGGGTCAGGAACCATTAGAAACGAGCAGAATTAGAAATGAGCACGATTTGAAATGAACGACGTGTGCGGTAGCAAGTCATGGGAGCGTTGGCGTCAGGAGCGATAGCAGGACGCGCACGTTCATGAACCCACGCTGGTTTCGAAGATACGCGTTCCGCGAGCGTACGTATCACGAGGCTGGTCTCGCGGACGGGGGGGCCGTATTCATGTGCGTGGTTGGGCGCGTACGTGCTCTGTCGGTTCCCTATGTATGTCGTCATCGTTCCATCTTCAGAGGTCACTAGCGAGCGCATGCGTCTGGTAATCGATGAGCGAGCGCCGAGTCGCATTTATTTTTCATCGGCTGGCGTCGAGTAGCGTCGATTAGCGTCGGTTAGTGTCGATTCGTCGCAAGAGCCAATAAGATGGCATGGGATGCTCCCATGAATTGACACTGGAACTTTCACGCATGTCGCTGCGACCGGGAAGAAACCATGCGTCTGAGCACCGTGGCAGCCGCGGCCTGCGGAGAGAATACTGACAGGTAGTGCGACGTCCATTTCAGATCCGATCTGGATGCGCGCTTCGATCTAGCTCAGGTAAGCTTGGCTGCCGCCCTTCGCGTGTGCTTCAGGGGCAACGTTAGGGGGGGACAGGCTCAGGGGGTGGGACGCATCGATTTGTCATTGCCCACTGATCGCCGACTGGAGCCCGATAGCCAACCCTACCCAGGAACGCTCGGATTCGCATTAGGGGGCTTGTCGCCAATCCGTCGCCGCGATTCCAGCTCTTGGTGTCCGCCCCCGCTGAGCCGTCCCAGCTAACGTTCCCCGTCGGAGGTCCGCCCTCCCCCATACCCGCTTGTACGCGCCGCCGGTGCTGCTCCCCAGACGATCTCCTCGTCCTCCGCCGTTGTCCTCCCTTCTCGTCCTCCCCTCCCCCCCCCGACGGCCGCGCTCCTCCCGCCAGGCCCCTCCCCGCCCCTCGGAGGTGCGTCCGTGCGAGGTGATCAAGAAGGAGTTCCTGGAAAAGATCGACGACTGCATCGCCGTGGCCCGCGCGCGCACCAGCCGCCCCCTCTGGCCTTCCCAGGAGGAGGAGGAGGAGGAGGAGGAGGAGGAGGAGGAGGAGGATGAGGAGGAGGAGGAGGAGGAGGAGGAGGAGGAGGAGGGGAAGAAGTAGGAGGGGGCGGAGGAGAAGGGGGAGGAGGAGGAGAAGGGGGAAAAGGATGGGCAGGAGGAGGAGGAGGAGGAGGAGGAGGAGTGCGGCCTGGCAAACTACGCGATGGACGCCCAGACGACCCGGCAGAAGAGCTTCCCCGCCACGCTGGTTATGCAGAGCGCCAGTGTGAGAATCCGAACCGACGGTGGACTTCGGGATGGCGAATGCGCATCTGCTGCTTGGATCCTCTAACTTTGTGACCTGATCGGCGGGCAGTGCATTCATGAACCGTTGTCGGTGCACTGTGCTGCCCTTGAGTTGATCAGGGTTTTTCCCTGGACACGACCTCTAGAGCAGCGCAAGTTGTTCTCGCCCAGTAGATGACGAGAACCGTTCCATAGGTTGAACGAAAAAAAGGAGGAAGGGGAGCAAGGGACGGCCCTCCTCTCCTGCCTCCTCCCCCCTCTCTTCCTTGTCCCTCTCTGTCCCTCACGCTTCCCCCCTCCTCCTTCCCTCCCCCTCCCCCTCTTCCTCGTCATGGTGCACCAACGATTGTTGCGATTGGCCTGGATGGCCTCGCGTCCGCGACGGGAGGGCGAGCTCCAGGGTGGCCTTGGCTCCTCGCGTGGCGAGGGGCAGCCTCGGCCTCCACCCAGGCGACCCCGCCGAGTCCCCGGGCGGCGCTCGGGTGGCGCAGTGGCGAAGCGTTCAAGAGCGCGTACCGTCGACGACGGTGGCAGCGACGGCCAATGCGACGGCAACGACGACGAAGACGACGGCGACGACGACGACGGTGGCGGCGGCGGCGACGGCGACTGCAGCGGCGGCGGTGGCGGCCGTGGAGGACTGCGAGGACGAGGAGCAGTCACCCATCCTCCTTTTCGTCCTTATCCTCGCCCTCCTGATCCTTCTCCTCCTCACCCTCTTCCTCCTTCCCCTCTTCGCGTTCACTCGCTTCACTCATCCTCCTGTTTATCCTCCTCATCATCCTTATCCTCATCCTCCTCCTCCTCGCCCGCTTCCTGCTTCTCTTCCTCACCCTCCTCCGCCTGTTCCTCCTCCCTTTACTTATTGTTCTCCTCCTCCTGTTTCTCAACTCTGCACTTGTCCTCGCCCTCCTCGTCGTCCTCCTCTCCGGCCTTCTCCTCCTCTCCTCTTCTTCCGACCGTAGCTACTTTGCCCAATGCCAGCCTCAAACCCTCGGGTCGCCACTTACCCACGCGATGGCTTGGTCCCTGGCAGGCGAGAGGCGTGAGGTGGCCTGGGTGGCGACCGTCTCCTGTTGCCATCGGCGGTGGCGTGCTGAGCGCTCAGCGGCGCGGACGCATGCAGTACAGGCCATTGGCGCTGCGGTTGTTCGCAGTTATCGTGAAGTGGCGAAATGGAGATGCAGGGACACTGGATGTCCTGAGGCCTTCGAATTGCTGCTGGGAGGCGACTCTGTCTTGACAGATCGTGTCCTTGCTATCCTGCCAGCACTGAGGGATCGTATTGCTGGCCAGGGTCCTCCGCATGACGATATGTTTTGGCATAAGGCGGCCCTGCGCGCCAAGGCCGAGGGGGTCAAGGTCTCTGTGGCGCCGGTTGCGCAACTCCGCGTTGCTTAGCACGGACCGTGGTTGGCTCCTGGCCGTCTTGACGGTGGCGATCTGTCGGCCATGCCTTGGAGCTCGCTCGTGTTGGCAACGGTTTTTGTGTGGAACGCGGAGGCGTCCGCCTTCGCACCCTCGCTGGCCCGCGGTGGAGCACGTGGTGCCGGAGACCTCCCAGTTGGGCCACTTCTGGGATGCAGAGGGCAAGGCGGTGGTGTCCCCGCTATGGTTGGGTGCTATCGCCGTGCCCGAACCCCCCGCTTCAGGTGTATGGCGGTGCGGTGTGAATGGGTGTGGTGTTGTTTCTCGTACGCGCCTCGGTCGCGGCACGGGGTCGAGGGCCTTCCCCCAGGGCTCACATGGAGCTGCAGCTGGTCCAGATCCTGGCATTCTCGGCGGTGGGGTCGATGAGTTCGGTCTTCTGTGCACGTGCGGCGCGGTGGTCTGCTCAAGCTGTGGCGTGCTGTTCTGGTCTGCGCGGCCATGGCGGCCTGGTCTGTCCCTTACGTGCCTTGGTGGCGGCACTGGGTCGGGGACTTCCCCCGCGGACCAGCATGTGCGCCTCGTTCGGGATGGTCCTTCTCTCACGTGCCCTGGTGATGGCACTGGGTCAGGGGCCTCCCGGAGGTGCTTCTCTCAAGTGCCCTGGTGGTGGCACAGGGGGCGGGGGCCTCCTGCCGCGGGCCAACATGAGCCCCTCCTTCACTGAGGTGCTTCTCTTGTGTGCCTTGGTGGAGGTCCTGAGTCGCGGGCCTTCCCCGCGAGCTCAAGCTGTGTTTCAGGCAAAGGCTCTGGACGTCCTGCGGTCGCCTGCCGTCCTGAGGCGGAGGACGCTGCTGGGCACGCGGAGCTGGTGTGCGGCGCCGCTGGGCCTCGCGGTTTGGACGTGCTGCAGTTCGTGTGCACATTGTGTTCATTTCTAAGTATTCGAGGTCTTTGATTTTTTTGGGGGGCAAGATCCTTTCATTCCAAATTATTCTATCCTGGGCCACTTCCTGGCCACTAGGGGGCCAGGAACAATTAGAAACGAGCACAATTAGAAATGAGCACGATTAGAAATGAACGACGTGTACGGTTAGCGTGAGATCAAGGGCTCGGCGCTGCCGCAGATTGCTTCGTCAGCGCGTTCGGCGGCCTCGCTGGTGCCCATGGAGGCGCCCATGAAGAAGCCCATTAAGAAAACCTGGCAAGGTTTCCGTCTCGGGGTCGATCCGCGACGAGTCGAGGGATGCGAGGGGGGATGCGAGGGTGTTGCCGCTGCTGGTCCTCCTTGTATCTCGTCGGGGGGCTCGTGACTGCTGTCGCTGGGCGTGGGCATTATTCTGGAATTGCTCTTGGGCTGGGCCCTGAATCTGCCGATGTGTTTATGCTCGATGATGGTGTTCGCGTTGTTGCCTGGATGATGGAGGATGGCGCAATGGTGGCGTGGGGAACCCCTGTCGACGCGTGTGAGCTCGAGTTGGGCGGTGAAGTCTTGCTGCACTGCTTCGAGGACGAGCCGTGCTACGTCCTCTCGGGTATCTGCCCGCGGGGGGGGCTGCGATCGAGCTCGCGGAGCGCTCGGCGGCCTGTCCCCTGGAGTCGCTGCAGCTGTCCACGGCCGCCGTCTTATCGCGGCGCTTGTGCGGCGGCGGCGCGTCTGTCTCTGCCCCTCCGCCTGCCCCTGCGCCTCGTCCGGTCCGAGCAGGGGCGCCTCATGTCTGATCGGGGCGGCGACCTGCCCGAAGAGTACCTTATACTCCTCCGAATCCTCTTCCTCGACCCTTCCTTTCTCATCTCCTTCGTCGTCCTCCGTCTCCTCACCCCCCTCCTCATCAGCTTCCTCCTCTTCACGCCGCCCTCCTGCTGCTGCTGCTGCTGCTGCTGCTGCTCCTCCTCCTCCTCCTCCTCCTCCTCCTCCTCCTCTGCCTCCTCCCCTTCCGCCATCTCGAAATCTTCTGTAGCCATTTCGGCTCAAGTGTTGCGGCCCGCCCCGACTGGCGGCGCGCGCCCGGCCATGGGGGGTCTCGCGCGCGGGGCTCGCGCTCATCGTCAGGGGCGTCGTGCGGGGCGCTGCGGGCGGAGGTCGGCGGGCAGCAGTGGCTGCGGCGGTGGCGGCGTGCGCCCGCGTGGCGGAGGAGGTGCTGCAGGGCGTCGCGGAACCGTCCGACGAGAGGATGAAGGCAATCTCTTGGCATCGCTCGAGAGTGTGCATCTTCCTTCGGCGAGGACAATCTAGGAGCATCCTTGATCATTTGGCGAAGAAACCACGCACGAAACTGACAACAAAAAACACAGGGAATGGACGTCCGAGCGATGGCCAGATCATGCCCGTCTTCCAGAAACATGTCCTGGCAGGTGGGCGCGGCGTCCGCGCCAGCATCCCTGGGAGCGACAGGAAGCTGCGCAACTAGGACTCCCATCACGGCGTCGGTGCTGGGCCAGGCGTGTGGCGCGCGGCGGGGCACCTCACCAAATAGGTGATTGCGTGCGACTTCAAGGACGCGCTTGGTGGCTTCCCCGGGGAGGAAAGCGAGAAGATGCAGATGGTCCAGGACAAGGAGGCCGAGTCGATCGTGAAGTCGCAGATGACCGAGCGCGTCGAGAGGAGCGCCCACGTGCCGCAGGTGAGGGCGGACGCGCCACCGACACAGCATGTCGAAACGCGCTTTCTGATGCCGAAGGCCCAGAAGGCCGAGAAGGAGGAGGAGGAGGATGAGGAGAGACGCGGAAGAGGAGGAGGAGGGGGAGGAGGAGGAAGAGGAGGTTCAAGGAGGAGGAGGATGAGGAGGCTGACGAGGAGGAGTAGGAGTAGAAGGAGGAGGAAGAGGAGGAGGAGGAGGAGGAGGAGAAGGAGGAGGAGGAGGGAGGATAGTGGAATGGGATCGAGGAGGCGGGATGAGGATCGAGGAAGACGATGAGGTGGAGGTGCCGAACTTAGCGCGCGTGGAGGAGCCCGACCACGAGTCGCTGGTCGTGACCCAGGCGGCCGAGGAGATTGTAGAGGTGGCGCAGGGCAAGCTCGATGGCATCGCGGCGAAGCGGGGCGAAGCGCAGGTGGACGTGCCGAGCCTCCTGGAGCAGATGGGGCGGGCGGCCGCCGAGGTCTATGAGGCGAAGTTCGACAGGGCGCTCAAGTGCACCCTCGGCTGGAAGGTCAACTGCCCGTTCGCTGGGAAGGCCGCGTTCGAGGGCAAGTGAAAGGAACTTGGGGGCATCGCCAGACCCGTCTTCCCAGAGATCACCACGGCTCCCCTGCGTAAGGGCGAGCAGCTCATGCCGTCAGGGGGGTGGCGCGCACGTGACCACAACCTGAAGGAGCTCGAGGACGTGCGGCACGCCCTGAAACAGATCGAGAGCATGCTCTAGCAAGAGTAATGATTGAACGCTTGCCCTGAGGTTCCGAGGCGCGGGCCGCCGCTTGGCGGCGGGAATGCGCTAGTGGCGCACGCGTCGGCGAGCCTCGGCACAACGAGGATAGGAGCTCTCCTGTGGCAGGAGAAGCTTGCAGCACCGTCCTGGGGAGCATGGTGAGAAAAAAAAGGACAACATCCGTTACCAAAGTCTTACAGAGTCTTCCCCCTCCTACTCCTCTTCCCCCTGCTCTGACGATTTCTCAACACGGTCCTGCTCCTCGCACTCGTCCTCCTCGTCCTCCTCCTCCTCCTCTTCCTCCTCTTCCTCCTCCTCCTTCTCCTCCCGATGTCCTCCTGAGGTCCTCCTCCTCCTCCTCTTCCTGCCTCCTTCCTCATCCTCTTCGCCATCCTCACCCATTCCTGTTTCCAGTAACTGCGTCCCCCTGTCACACCCCGAGGCCAGATAGAAGGGTGGCCCAGGCGTTTCGATTGTGCTGTTCTCATTGTGTACGATTCTGAAGTTTGAGAATTGGCAACAGCTTTGTACATGGAGGGCGAGCCGCTTCGAAAATATGGGTCTCGCCTTAGCGCCGCGCACACTCGTTGTAAACATCGCAAGAGCTTCACGGGTTGACGGCGGTTAGTTTTCAAAACCTGGTTTTCGCAGTAGCGGTACGCACATGTCTTATAATAAGTGCAAGCGCTTCACATATTGAGCGCGTTTTTTCTCAAAATGTGGTTTCCGCGTTAGCGCCGCGCACATTCGTTTGAATCACGTGCAAGGGCTTCAACGGATCCCAGGGCTAATGTACCACAGGTCGTGCTCTGGCATGGGTCCGGGCTGTGACGGGGCAGCCGTTACGGTACTTCGTGGCGCTGCAGTCCAGAAGTAGCATTCTGCCGCGACTCATCATCGACAATACTTATCCCTCATGTTGAATACGCTGCGGGATCCTCAAAAACGTTTGTCCCCCCACGGGCCATTTTCTTTTGTGGGAATGGGGCCTGTGAGGAGGGAGCTTGGAGGGAGGGTTGTGTTCAAACATCGTTGATGAGTCTTGGGTTTGCACTGGTTTTCCTCCTCCTCTTCCTCGTTTTCCTCCTCCTCCTCCTCCTTCGTCTCCGTCCTCTTCCTGCTCGGCAGTGTTGATGTCCTCGTCGTCGTGCGAACGGCGAGCGGCGCGGAGCGGCGCTCGGCAGGAGGACATGGCGTGCGGCCTGGCCGGCAAGGAGGACACCGACGAGCCGATAGCGAGCCCGGGCGGGGCAACATTGGGGACGATCGACATTTGTACGGAAAGACTGTCGGAAATTTGAACATTTACATTGCCAGTGGCGGGCTGTTTTTCAATCCTCGGATTTCTTGGGGGTCGAGGACGACGCTGGGGTGGTGTGGTGTATATTTGTTCCTCGATGTCCCGGGAAACAACAAAAAATGTGTACACCAGGGTCCCGTACACACCAGGATCCGCTTTCCAGTGCAAATTCTAATGCAGAGCCGGAAGAAGCGTCGGTGCATAGAGGTCGATTCTTTAGAATTGGTCAAGGACTAACAGCATGTCCTGTTCATTTTGAACATGAGTCGCTGTCGTCGTCGCCACGGCCTGTGCCCACTGAAGACAAAACACCAACTTCCCAACAGCGGCCGCTGTCGGTTTTGGACAACACTTGCTGTTGGGCATTGTACCCATTCTTTCCGTACCCATTTCGGGCGTCCAAAAGCACGCCTACACCCGAAGAGAAGGCAATGATAGAAGCATGGATTTCCAAAGGGGGTTCGAAAGGGCCACGAGAGGACCCCCCAGCAGAGCCCCCAAAAAATTCCCAAACCATTGTTTTTTTTTCATGTGTTTGGACGGGTGCTGCGTAGCATGTTGCTCAAGTTTCAAGCCAGCCAGCAGAGCGGCGACAGGATTATCATCCAGCAAATTGTCGTTCGTAAACTCAACTACGCGATCCCGTTTCCTTCCCCGGCAACGGTGATGCAGTGCCTCCGTGCTGTTTTCATCTTCGTGGCATCGTGTTCAGCCTCGTCCGAAAGGAATGTCGCTCGCATGCTCAGCCGCGCCATGTTGCACGTTGACATGAGTGCCTGCGACTCTGGCGACTGCGCGGCCGACTGCTCCAACGTGGACTGCTATTGCTAGGCCCCCTCGTGCGATCCGCTCGTGGAGAAGAAGGCGAACAGCACGAAGAGAGGGAACGCCTGCGATTCCGGCGATTGTGCGGCCGTCTGCTCCAACGTGGACTGCTTCTGCCAGGCCCCCTCGTGCGACTCGCTCGCGGAGAAGAGGGCGAACAGCGCGAAGAGTGGGAGCGCCTGCGACTCTGGCGACTGCGCGGCCGACTGCTCCAACGTAGAATGTTGCTGCCAGGCCCCCTCGTGCGATCCGCTCGTGG